AAAACTAACAAAATGAAGTTCAACAGGGACAAATGCAAGATACTCCACTTTGGCAGAAAAAACGAAATGCAAAGATACAGAATGGGGGACAATGCCTGGCTTGAGAGCAGTACGTGTGAAAAAGATCTTGGAGTCCTCGTGGACAACAAGTTAAACATGAGCCAACAATGTGATGTGGCGGCAAAAAAAGCCAATGGGATTTTGGCCTGCATCAATAGGAGCATAGTGTCTAGATCTAGGGAAGTCATGCTACCCCTCTATTTTGCCCCAGTTCTGTCATTCGTGGAATTCATTCAGAATGGTCTTTGATTGTAGGTGAACTATAAATCCCAGTAACTACAACTCTGCCAAGGTCTATTTCCCCCAAACTCCATCTGTGTTCCTATTTGGGCATATGGAATATTCATGCCAAGTGTGGTCCAGATCCATCATTGTTTGAGTCCACAGTGCTCTCTGGATGTAGGTGAACTACAACTCTCAAACTCAAGGTCAATGCCCACCAAATGCTGCTAGTATTTTCTGTTGGTCATGGGAAGCCTGTGTGGCAAGTTTGGTTCAATTCCATCGTTGGAGTTCAGAATGCTCTTTGATTATAGGTGAACTATAAATCCCAGCAACTACAACTCCCAAATGACAAAATCATATTCCAAAATCAATTCTAACAGACCTCACTACCTCTGAGGATGCTTGCCATAGATGCAGGCGAAACGTCAGGAGAAATGCCTCTAGAACATTGCCCTATAGCCCGAAAAAACCCACAAGAACCTAGACAAAATCATAATTTTTTGAGTGATGGTCACTCCTTGTGCAGTGAGACGTTTTGTTACCAAATTTGGTGAGATTTCGTTCATTGGTTCTTTTGTTTTTAAGGTACTCATTATGCACAGAGCATTTTTATATAGAGAGATATTAAACTTCAGTTTCAATATATAGTTCAATATATCTATTAAAAATCATCACATAATAGTCGCACCCATTTCTGTGTTTATGTACGTCTCCACTTTCTATATCATTGATATTGTGCATTTTTCTATGATAGTTTCTTAACAATTGACCCAATAGTCAGCACCCGTCTCTTAAGTTGTAACATACAAAATACAGAAGATAATCATATATTATTTATCTTAATTTTAGTTATCAAATCTAACTCCGTTTGATCACTAATCCGATTCTTGATGTCAACTTTTCCTTGTTGCAAAGGCCCAAGGTAGCTCTCAGAATGAATAAATCTCCCTTGGAATGGAACCAATCTAGTTAACCATCCGGGAAGAAATAGAAAACAAAGGAACCATTGAGTCGTCTCCCCGCAGCTGTCGGATTTGGATCAGAGATCAAATTCATCATTGCCAAGAGGAAACATGATTTTCTTTTCCCAGAGAGAGAACTTGCAGCTCTTCATCATATTGCTTGCAGGGTATTAATCTCCTCCGGGTTTGAATCCGAACTGCCAAGGAAGTCTTTGAGACGCTGGGCCTTAGATTTCTCATTTCAAGTTCGGACTCAAACCTGGAGCGGATGTCCGTCGTCAACATCCAAATCTGTATAGAGCACTATTTCTCAACCTAGGGGTTTGGACCCCTGGGGGGGGGGTCATGAGGGGGTGTCAGAGTCACCAAAGACCATCATAAAACACAGTGTTTTCTGTTGGTCATGGGGTTCTGTGTGGGAAGTTTGGCCCAATTCTATTGTTGGTGGGGTTCAGAATGCTCTTTGATTATAGGTGAACTATAAATCCCAGCTACAACTCCCAAATGTCAAGGTCTATTTCCCCCAAACTCCACCGGTTCAATTGTATCGTTGGTGTGTTCAGAATGCTCTGCTTGTAGGTGAACTACAAATCCCAGCAACTACAACTCCCAAATTCAAAGTCTATTTTCCCCAAACTCCACCAGTGTTCACATTTGGGCATATGTTGGGTTCAGAATGCTCTTTGATTGTAGGTGAACTATAAATCCCAGCAAATACAACTCCCAAATGTCAAGTCTATTTTACCCAAACTCCACTAGTGTTCACAGTTGCTCATGTTCGGACTGTGGTGCCAAAATGCTCTTTGATTAGAGGTGAACTATAAATCCCAAAACAACAAGTCCCAAATGTCAAGGTCTATTTTCCCCCAAACTCCCTAGTGTTCACATTTCATCGTTGGTGGAGTTCAGAATGCTCTTTGATTGTAGGTAAACTATAAATCCCAGCAACTACAATTTCCAAATGTCAGGGTCTATTTTCCCCAAACTCCACCAGTGTTCACATTTGTGGGGTTCAGAATGCTCTTTTGATTGTAGGTGAACTATAAATCCCAGCAACTACAACTCCCAAACGTTTCAAGGTCTAGTTCCCCAAACTGTGTGCCAAGTTTGGTTCAATTCCATCGTTGGTGGAGTTCAGAATGCTCTTTGATTGTAGGAGAACTATAAATCCCAGCAACTACAACTCCCAAATGTCAAGGTCTATTTTCCCCAAACTCCACTATTGTTCACATTTGGGCTTGGTGGGGTTCAGAAGCTCTTTGATTGTAGGTAAATCCCACAACTACACTCCCAAATGTCAGGGTCCCCACGGGTGGCAGCAGATCACCTAGGTGAGGCCATTGCGTCCGTGCTGGCCGTGTTCGGTTAGCTAGCTCGGTCATAGGCCGTGAGGGGAGGGGACGAGATCGAAGCACAGCGGAGGAACGGCCAACAACGATACGCCCGATGACATCATCCCGCCCCCCCCCAAAAAAAACCCATCAGTGAATGAATTTGTGCCAAATTTTGGTCCAGTGACTGAAAATACATCCTGCATATCAGATATTTACATGATTATTCATAACAGTAGCAAAAATACAGTTATGAAGGTGCAACGAAAATAATGTTATGGTTGGGGGTCACCACAACATGAGGAACTGGATTAAGGGGTCACGGCATTAGGAAGGTAGAGCATATGGTTTGTCTCCAGTGCCTTCAGAGAGTAATGGTTTCCCCTTCATGAGTGGGTTATACAACCAGGTTAAGGTGTGGACGTCCTGCACCAGCCAGGGTTGGGTTGGATGATCTTTGGAGACCCCTTCACCTCTATGAGTTTATGTATATGATTTATGGAAGATGCTTATGAAAGCGTTCCCCGATCTGGACCCTTCATCCCACATTAACCAGAAAAAGTTTGAGATGGAAAATACTAGAATGTGGAAGAAAGCAAAGTTGTTTAAGAGCATTATTATTATTATTATTATTATTATTATTATTATTATTATTATTATTATCGAATGTCATTATTATTTAATTGTATATTACTACGTAATATTACATTATACATAACAACACAGCACACATTCATATTGTGTCTAAGTGTCTGGGATTCGTCTCTGGATATTGGGCTCTTTCCAAGGGCCTAGGATATTAGAGGTATTATTGTTATTATTATTATTTGAATTATTATCTAATTTCATTATTATTTAATTGCATATTATAATGTAATGTGACATTATTCTTATTTAATTTTACATTACTATTAATTGCATATTATTATCAAATTTTGTTATTATTTAATTGTACATTATTAGGTAATGTTACATTATTCTTATTTAATTGCAAATTATATCGTGTTATTATTATTTGTATATTATTATGAAATGTTACATTATTATTAACTTTTGCATTATTATTATTATTATTATTATTATTATTATTACTATTTACATCCAGCTTTTCTCCCCATAACGGTTCACAGTCTTCAATACTATACAATTTAACTATCATTAATCACAATTGTGATACTGAATTAAGGTTGACCCCTCTCTGCATTTCATTATTATTTTTATTATTATAAAGTAATAATATTAATTAATAAATAATAATAATAATAATAATAATAATAATAATAAATGATTATATTTATAACTAGCCGTTCCCTGCCACGCGTTGCTGTGGCCCACATGGGGGTTCTGTGTGGGAGGTTTGGCCCAATTCTATCGTTGGTGGGGTTCAGAATGCTCTGTGATTGTAGGTGAACTACACATCCCAGCAACTACAACTCCCAAATGTCAAGATTCTATTTTCCCCAAACTCCACCAGTGTTCACATTTGGGCATATTGAGTATTCGTGTAGAGTTTGGTCCAGATCCATCATTGTTTGAGTCCACAGTGATCTCTGGATGTAGGTGAACTACAACTCCAAAACGAAAGGACACTGCCCACCAAACCCTTCCAGTATTTTCTGTTGGTCATGGGAGAACTGTGTGCCAAGTTTGGTTCAATTCCATCATTGGTGGGGTTCAGAATGCTCTTTGATTGTAGGTGAACTATAAATCCCAGCAACTACAACTCCCAAATGACAAAATCAATTTTTTTGAGTGAAGGACATACATTGGGTTGTCAGGTGTCTTGTGTCCAAATTTGGTGTCAATTCGTCCAGTGGTTTTTGAGTTCTGTTAATCCCACAAACGAACATTACTACTACTACTACTACTACTACTATAATAATAATAATAATAATAATAATAATAATATCACACAGTCCTAGACGTTTGGGAAGTGTTCGACTTTTGATTTTATGATACGAAATCCAGCATATAGATCTCGTTTGCTGTGACATACTGTGCTTTTGTGTCAATAATAAATAATAGAAATGGCAAGGACTATTTTTTTTCTTCAGTTCTTCCAGTAATATCTCATTTTATTCTCCAGTTAGCGCAAGCAGGCATGCGTAACTCTCGATTTCCTATTGCAACAACAACCTTGCGAAGTAGGCCAGGCTCTCCGCAGTATCATATGTAATATCCTTATTTGTCGAAATGGGCCATAATGACCCCTTCTCGAGAATTGGCATTTCCAAAGCTGATTCCCGAGAAAAGATTTCGGGAAAATTCAAGTCAATAGAACTCCGGTATCTCTTTGGCCCAAGACTCGGCACCATCTCTTCTGGAGCGGAAACTAGTTTTGCAACTGAATGTCGCAACATGTAAACATTGCGAGGTATTTCCAAGAAGACTCTAGGGCCCTCCTTTCAAACTGGATTTCCTGATAAAGCGGACCAGATAAAAATCAAAGCCTTTCAAGAGACCTCTTGCAGGATTCGCAGTCCTTCAGAGGGAGAGCATCAGGTACCTGGACAAAGCCCTAAAGCTGCTGGTAAGTGCTGGACGAAACAAAAAAAGCCTATATCTCTTTCGCTTTTCAGCAGTGGAACTCACTGCCTCGGAGTCTGGTGGAACCTCCTTCTTTGGAGGCTTTTAAACAGAGACTGGATGGCCATCTCTTGGGGGGGGGGGGTTGATTGTGCTTTTCCTGCATGGAAAAAGGGGTTGGACTAGATAGCCTTTGGGGTCTCTTCCAGCTCTTCGATACATTTTGGGGATCCAAAAGGGTGGTTGTCTCCGATGTGTTTCCTAACATTTGGAGATACAAGATCCAGGTTGGCTGAAGAAGGGCTGCGTCTACACTAAAGGACGAAGGAAATATGACACCAGTTTCAATGCTATGGAGAAGTGGGAGTTGCAGCTATTACTGGAAGAGACCTCAAAGAACCATCCATTGCAATCCTATTCTGCCCTAAAGGAAGACACCATCCGATCCCTCCCGACAGATGGCCATCCAACCCACATAGGCATTCATAGTTTCATGGAGAGAAATAGGGTGAAAGAACCATAGAATCCTAGAGTTGGAAGCGACCCCAAGGTCCAACCCCATTCTGCCCTAAAGGAAGACGCCATCCGATCCCTCCCGACAGATGGCCACTCAATCCTCATAGGCATTAATAGTTTCATGGAGAGAAATAGGGCGAAAGATCCATAGAATCCTAAAGTTGGGAGGAGACCCCTAGGGTTAACCCCATTCTGCCCTAAAGGAAGACACCATCCGATCCCTCCCGACAGATGGCCATTCAACCCTCATAGGCATTAATAGTTTCATGGAGAGAAATAAGGTGAAAGAACCATAGAATCCTAGAGTTGGAAGCGACTCCAAGGGCCAACCCCATTCTGCCCTAAAGGAAGACACCATCTGATCCCTCCCGCCAGATGGGCATTCAACCCTCATAGGCATTCATAGTTTCATGGAGAAAAATAGGGTGAAAGAACCATAGAATCCTAGTGTTGGAAGCGACCCCAAGGGCCAACCCCATTCTGCCCTAAAGGAAGATGCCATCCGATCCCTCCCGACAGATGGCCATCCAACCCTCATAGGCATTCATAGTTTCATGGAGAGAAATAGGGCGAAAGAACCATAGAATCTTAGAGTTGGAAGCGACYCCAAGGGCCAATCCCATTCTGCCCTAAAGGAAGACACCATCCAATCCCTCCCGACAGATGGCCATCCAACCCTCATAGGCATTAATACTTTCATGGAGAGAAATAGGGCAAAAGAACCATAGAATTCTAGAGTTGGAAGCGACTCCAAGGGCCAACCCCATTCTGCCCTAAAGGAAGACRCCATCYRATCCCYCCCGACAGATGGCCATCCAACCCTCATAGGCATTMATASTTTCATGGAGAGAAATAGGGYRAAAGAACCATAGAATYCTAGAGTTGGAAGYGACTCCAAGGGCCAACCCCATTCTGCCCTAAAGGAAGACGCCATCYGATCCCYCCCGAMAGATGGCCATYCAACCCTCATAGGCATTCATAGTTTCATGGAGAGAAATAGGGTGAAAGAACCATAGAATCCTAGAGTTGGAAGTGACTYCAAGGGCCAAYCCCATTCTGCCCTAAAGGAAGACGCCATCTGATCCCTCCCGACAGATGGCCATTCAACCCTCATAGGCATTAATAGTTTCATGGAGAGAAATAGGGTGAAAGAACCATAGAATCCTAGAGTTGGAAGCGACTCCAAGGGCCAACCCCATTCTGCCCTAAAGGATGACGCCATCCGATACCTACCAACAGATGGCCATCCAACCCTCATAGGCATTCATAGTTTCATGGAGTAAAATAGGGTGATACAATCAAAGACTCCTAGAGTTGGAAGAGATCTCCAAAGTCCAACCCCATTCGATCCCTCTCGATAGGTGACCATCAGACCATTCTGTTTAAAAACCTCAAAAGACATCCCTAAGCCACTCCTCACAGGGCTTGTTTCCAAACCTTTGATCATTTTGGTCACCCTTCTGTGGACATATTCTCTTGGTGTCAAACCAGATTCATTCTCCTATGTAGATGCACCCTTATGTTATCTGTCCTTCCTTTTCATGCCAGGACAACAGAAGTGAAGATTTATACCACTTATATCTATCTGTTGAACTCTTAGGATATTATTACACGGCTGTTAAAGTGCTTTTATTCCACTGTATCTGCTATGGTTGCCTCCTGCGGAATCCTGGGATTTGTAGTTTAGGGAGGTGCAATTCTTAGCTTGAGAAGTCTCCATCTTCACTACAAATCCCAGAAGAGGAGACCATAGCAGTTAACACAGAATAACAGAGCATGAATGGCATAGTATGATCATTTATTTTATCTATCATGTCAGAAGCAAGTTGAGGGTAAATGTCCTTTGACCAGAAGTTGGCCACTTGGAGTGCCTCTGGAGTCGCTATGAGAAAGTCCTCCATTGTGCATGTGGCAGGGCTCAAGTTGCATTGTAGTAGGCAGTAAGAGCACCTAAAGCTTTGGAGGGCTTCTGTTCAACCATTTCAAAGCTCCCTGCTTGAGCAGTGATGGCACGATCGTCAGCATAGAGTGATAATGCCTTTAGTCAAGCGTGTTATTACTAGAAAGTCTCCACGATTTTATATACATTGGAAAACAACATGATAATAATACAAAACGAGGTGGGATACAAAACAGTCAAAACAAATAGAACAAAAAACACATCTTTAATGATGGTGTGTTTTTACACATACATTTTATTGTATGTAATGTAGCATGCGTATGTAATGTTGATATGTTTTGACTTGATTGTATACCCGCATTGAGGCATTAGGGGAGGTGGGTAACAAATTAAATGTATTATTATTGTTCTTTGTGGTTGTTATTGTTGCTGTATGATATGTTTTGACTTTGTTATACCTCCACCTCGAGCCATTAGGAGAGGTAACAATTATTTTGACTATGTTATCAAAATACATTAGTATAAATATATACACCAAAACACATGGCACAAATATGAACTTACATTGGCAATAGAATGCAAATCAAACTTTTTGAAAGTTCAAGTTGACATCCTACTTTAGCACATTTTGCTCGAGAGTCTCAGTAACTGAATACCTTATAGAGTCTCCACCCATGGTTTGTGGGCACAAAAAGGAAGTTTCAGGAGCACAACAACTACCACAAAAGTAAGGACTGCACAATTAAACAGGAAGTAACACTTGCAAAGCAGGAACATGTTTATTATTATTATTATTATTATTATTAATAATAATAATAATAATAATAATAATAATAATAGAAACACAAGATTAGTCCACAGCAAACAAGATCACTATGCTGGTTGTTGCGTTGTTGTTGTTGTTGTTGTTGTTGTTGTTGTTGTTATTCAGAGGCAGGGTAGCTATCAGAATGGCCAGAGAAGGAAGGAAGGAAAGAAGGAAGGAAGGAAGGAAGGAAGGAAGGAAGGAAGGAAGGAAGGAAGGAAGGAAGGAAGCAAGCAAGCAAGCAAGCAAGCAAGCAAGCAAGCAAGCTTGGGGGAAGGTAACACATGGCAAACACAACAGAGAGAAAGAAGGGAGGGAGGAGAGAAGTTAACATATGGCACATACAACACAAAGAAGGAAGGCGAGAGGGAGGGAGGAGGAGGGAGGGAAGGAGGAAGGAAAGGAGGAAGGAAGGAAGGAAGGAGGAAGGAAAAAGGAAGGAAAGGAGAGGAGGAAGGAAAGGAAGAGAAAAGAAGGAAGGAGGAAGAGAAGGAAGGAAGGAGGAAGGAAAGGAAGGAAGGAAGGAAGGAAGGAAGGAAGAAGGAAGAGAGGAAGGAAGGAAGGAAGGAAGGGAGGGAAGGAGAGGGAGGGAGGAGGAGGGAGAGGAGAGGAAGGAAGGAAGGGGGAAGGAAGGAAGGAAGGAAGGAAGGAAGGAAGGAAGGAAGGAAGGAAGGAAGGAAGGAAGGAAGGAAGAGGGAGGAGGGAGGGAGGGAGGAAGGAAGGAAGGAAGAGGGAGGGAGGGAGAAAAGAAGGAAGGAAGGAAGGAAGGAAGGAAGGAAGGAAGGAAGGAAGGAAGGAAGGAAGGAAGGGGGTGACACATGGTACACACAAAACATTGAAGGGAGGGAGGGAGGGAGGAGAGGATAAGGAGGTAACACACGGCACACACTGCAAGGCTCCCAGAAAGTGCATGAGACAAAAAGGAACACAACATACTACCGATCTTCCCTCCTCCTGGGACAAAAGGTAATAGTGGAGCTTTTTCTCAAAGGGGCATTTCGACTTCTCTCACAAATTGCAAAAGCGTATCATTTTAAAGCTCAGAACGATGAATACCATCACATGGCAGAATTGGCCATTTTGCCCATCCAGATAATTAGCAAAAAAAAGTCACTTGCCAACCAGCTTAGAAAGCATCTGAAAAGATAACCCCCTGTAACTCTTTTTAAACATCCCTACACTCGAAGCCTACATCATATGATGAATGCAGTACGTTACCATTTCTTAAGTGAGTAACTCAGTAGTATTTAATGAATGTGATGAAGTGACCAGAACATATTTTTCCCTTTTTCTCCATCTGCACAGGGGTCAAAGATGGGTTTTGCGGGGATCCTTACGCTGTGCTTGGCGATATGCCTTCAATGCCGCCGCCTCGGGGCTATGCCATGCCCGCTGCCATCCTCTGCCAACATTACTGAATTCGTCTGTTCCTCGCCATCTCTCAGTGACTTCCCTTCCGGCTTCCCCAAAGAGATCCGCATCATCTCCGTGGAGTTCACCAACATCTCAATTATCAGCGTAGACGCCTTCCGGGCCCTTCCGCACCTCCAGGAGCTCCACCTTTCCAACAACCAGCTCAAGACGCTGCCCAACAGCCTCTGGCGTGACCACCCCGAGCTGACCGCCTTGGACCTCACCAACAACCTCCTCAAAGACCTGCCGCTGGGGATCTTCTGGAAGCTCCCCGCCTTGCAGCAGCTCTCCTTGAAGGGCAACCGCTTGGCGATCCTCCGTCCTTCATGGTTCCAAGCCCTGCGGCAGCTCAAGTTCCTCGACCTCTCCAACAATCGCTTCAACGAGCTGCCCGAGGAATGTTTTGTCCACCTCGAGCAGCTGACCAATCTGGACCTTTCGTACAATTTCCTCCGTGTGCTTTCGGCACCAGCGTTCAAGGGTCTGCCCCACCTCAACGGCTTGAACCTAGAGGTCAACCAACTGCAGTCGGTCGCAGGAGACACCTTCCAAAGCATTCCCGAACTCCGGTTCCTCTTCCTGCAAAACAACAGTTTGGAGGCACTCCCCGCCAAAGTTTTTGCCCCACTGAAGATGCTTGAGATGCTGGATCTGTCCCACAACCAACTCTCCACGCTGGAGCCTCCCTTTTCAAAACAGGTTGCTGAATCCGGGCTGGACCTCTCTGGAAACCCATGGGTCTGCGATTGCCGCATGGAGGCCTTGGCCAAATGGGCCAAGAACAACTCCCTCAGCCTTTATTCCAAGCAGGGTGTGACCTGTTTCTCTCCCCCAAACCTCAAAGGCCGGGCGGTAATGTCACTTGGCGAGTCCGAATTTGGCTCCTGCTGAATTCTTGAAATGGGTCCATTCCTCACAAGCTTCCAAGCATACCCTGCTCTGCTTTGTTCCCTTCCGTGAAACGGCAAGTGACACATTTTCCAAAAGCTCTCCGTCCTCATTGTTTTCCAAGATATGACTTTATCTGCCCTCTTTGTTTGGGCCAGGACTGTCTCTTGCTTATCGGCATCCTCAAGAAGAACATCTTTTGTGGCCGACCCTTCTGTGGCGGAGATATGATGTGCTTCATTGTTGAGCTAAAGTATAAAATAAGATTCTGATCCTTGTGGTATTAAATAAAAGCATGATTTCAATCATTGTGGGTCTTCAAACCATTCCTGATTTAGGGACTTCATCACATTGAAGCAGGGAAGTGTTTGGTAGAGTAGAGCTCAGTCATACTCGGTTTTGAAATGAAATAGATAATTTCCCTACCAGTCCCCAGTGGCGCAGTGGATTAAACCCCTGTGCCGTCAGGACTGAAGACCGACAGGTCACAGGTTCGAATCCGGGGAGAGGCAGATGAGCTCCCTCTATCAGCTCTAGCTCCTCATGCGGGGACATGAGAGAGGCCTCCCACAAGGATGATAAAAGCATCAAATCATCCAGGCGTCCCTTGGGCAACGTCCTTGCAGACGGCCAATTCTCTCACACCAGGAGTCACTCCTGACACGACCAAAAAAAAAAAAATCACACTGTTAAATATATTTGTATTGCTCATTTGTACTCAGCATTCTTTCAGTTGATTTTTGCCCTCACATTGCAATCGCTAGGCACTGCAAACCATCCCTTCCCTAGTGTTCTTTGTGTGGAGAAAACCCTCCTCTCTTTGAAATGTCAAGTGTCTTTATGTAAATGCACCCAGAGAAGGGTATGGACCTTGGGAAACTATAACTCCCAAGGCCTGCACAGCATGGAGACATGGCATAATAAACTTTCCCTAACAAGGGTATCTTGGCTCCTCCCACAATTTCCCCTCTCACAAATTGAGGAAATGTCTCATTTTAATCCTGAGAGCAATGAAAGCCATCACATTACTGGGCACCACAATTCAAGAGAGATATGGACAAGTTGGAATGTGTCCAGAGGAGGGCAACTAAAATGATCAAGGGTCTGGAGAACAAGCCCTATGAGGAGCGGCTTAAGGAGCTGGGCATGTTTCGCCTGAAGAAGAGAAGGATGAGAGGAGATATGATAGCCATGTATAAATATGTGAGAGGAAGCCACAGGGAGGAGGGAGCAAGCTTGTTTTCTGCTTCCTTGGAGACTAGGACACGGAACAATGGCTTCAAACTACAAGAGAGGAGATTACATCTGAACATGAGGAAGAACTTCCTGACTGTGAGAGCCGTTCAGCAGTGGAACTCTCTGCCCAGGGAGTGTGGTGGAGGCTCCTTCTTTGGAAGCTTTTAAAGAGAGGCTGGATAGCCATCTGTCAGGGGTGATTTGAAGAATGCAATATTCCTGCTTCTTGGCAGGGGGTTGGACTGGATGGCCCATGAGGTCTCTTCCAACTCTTTGATTCTATGATTCTATGAATTGGCCATTCATCTGGATCATTCCCCAAAAATCCACTTTCCCGCCACCTCGTGAAACGTTTGAAAAGAATGCTGGCCCCACACTTAAAATACAGAAATAATGCTCTACCCTACACTTGAACTCAAACTATTTTTTTTTCCGTGTCAGGAGTGACTTGAGAAACTGCAAGTCGGTTCTGGTGTGAGAGAATTGGCCGTCTGCAAGGACGTTGCCCAGGGAACGCCCAGATGTTTTTGATGTTTTAGCACCCTTGTGGAAAGCTTCTCTCATGTCCTCGCATGAGGAGCTGGAGTAGGAGTTCATCCGCGCTCTCCCCGGATTCGAACCTGTGACCTGTTGGTCGCAGGTCCTGCCGAAACACAAGGGTTTAGCCCACTGTGCCACCGGGGGCTCCCACCCAAACTAATGTGACGAATGAACACAGTGGGTTACTGGCTGTTAAGTGTAGAACTCAGTAGAATTTAGTAAATGTGCTGAAGTAAAACCAATGACAAATTTTTGTCCAGAGAGGGCCTTGTTTACTCGAGACTAATACTTTTTGAGGCTAAATGGCCTCGCTTGCCTTCCTTCCTTTTTTCGCTTTTTCTTTTTTCTGTCCTCCAGCTGCCTTTTGCCTTAATTGGGAGAGGGGAGAAAAGGCATTGCAATGGGAAATTTATAGCAAAGCCGCCTTCCCCATGGAAGTTTTAAATTAAACCCAATTGCTTAAAGACGCCGGGCAATTTGCGGTGATTTAACAGCACCATAAAGAAAGTCATATTTGCCCACCCAAATGGGCTGTGCGTTGGGGTTGTTTATTTGCCTGGATGGGTTTTTTCCCCCTTTAAATAATAAGAATAACGAGAGAGGTTTGCTGTAAACAGACAAAAGCGTTAAGGAGTGGAGGGGGGGGGGAGAAAAAATGTATATATATATTAATTGAATCGGAAGACACCCCAAAGGCCATCCAGTCCATGCCAGGCAGGAAGGACACAATCCAAGCTCTCTGGACAAATGACCCTCCAGGCTTGTTTTCTGATAAAGACAAATTGGAGCCGTGGATTCAAACAGCAGAAAACGAGATTCCACCTAATTGGAATATGTTGCCTGGGAATCTGTTGAAGTCACCTATTAAATAATAATAATAAATAATAATAATAATACTAATAATGATTTTTGTTAATTGGGTTGTAGGTCTTTTCAGGCTATATGACCATGGTCTAGAGGCATTCTCTCCTGACATTTCGCCTGCATCAATGGCAAGCATCCTCAGAGGTAGTGAGGATGCTTGCCATAGATGCAGGCGAAATGTCAGGAGAGAATGCCTCTAGACCATGGCCATATAGCCCGAAAAAACCTACAACAACCCAGTGATTCCGGCCATGAAAGCCTTTAACAATTTTTGTTAATTATTATGTATATAGTTAAAGGTTGTCCCCTGACATTAAGTCCAGTCATGTCTGACTCTGGGGTGTGGTGCTCATCTCCATTTCTAAGCCGAAGAGCCGGCGTTGTCCGTAGACACCTCCAAGGTCATGTGGCCGGCATGACTGCATGGAGCGCCGTTACCTTCCCGTCGGAGCAGTACCTATTGATCTACTCACATTTGCATGTTTTCGAACTGCTAGGTTGGCAGAAGCTAGGGCTGACAGCGGAAGCTCACACCGGTCCCCAGGATCGAACTTGTGACCTTTCAATCAACAAGCTCAGCAGCTAGGTGCTTTAACCCACTGCGCCACCAGGGGCTCCCCGTGTATATAATAATAACAATGATAATGATTATTATATAATATAATATGATATTATTATTATTTATACCCTGCTTTATTTATTTATTTATTTGCGACATTTATATGCCGCCCTTCTCACCCCGAAGGAGACTCAGCGGCTTACAAGATATATATACATACAATATATTATTAGCATAGTACAATATCAGTTTTAAATATTGCTATATTGTACTATATCAATTATACTGTAATATAATTAGTAATATTACATGTAATATCAATATATAATGATAATATATTTATCTCTCCTGGAGGAGACTCAAAGCAGTTTGAAGGTAAGACTGGATGGCCATCTGTCAGGAAGGATTTTGTTGTGTCATCCTGTCTGAAAGAATGGGGTCAGACTGGATGGCCTTTGGGGATCCCTTTGAACTCTAGCGAAACACAGACTCCTTGGGAGTATGGTAGGGTTTCATTCTCTGGGGATTTTGAAGACGTGGCTAGATGGCCATCTGTTGGGAGGGCTCGTATGGTGTTTTCCTGCAGGACAAAGTGCATAGGGCAGTGGCTGGGAGTCAGCCGTGTTCTTCCGCATTGTGAGACCAACAGAAAAGAGCTGTTCTCCCTTGAGTGCCAGTGAAGAGCATATGACCAGCGCATACAACACCATTCCTCGCAGCACACCACATGCGACCAGCGAACTAGACCTAATATAGCATTGAATATTCAGTATGTTGGCCCTGATCTGAATAAGTCTATTTCAATCGCACTGCATTGACTTCCTATGAGCCTCAATAAGGCTCCAGATCTGTTCAATCAGGGGTGTACATTTAAGGCTCATATGAAAAACTAATGAATTTTTGACTGTCTCATACCACTCTTTTTTTGTTCCTGGGTCATTCATGTCATTTCCTCGTTGGTTCTAACATAGAAACTTGGGGAAAAGTTGATTAAAGTAAGCATGAAATTGAACAATTTAAAGCAATCGCGGATAGTGAGATCCAGGCCTTGGATAACGAAACCTGAAGCACGGATACCGAGTTCCAATAAGCGGATACAGGCCGTTCTGTGGGTCCATGCGCCTGGCAAGATGAAGAAGCTAAAATCCAATGTTCCCAAATAAATCTCACCTAGTTGAAGAAGCCACTGAGGTTGTTTATTGAAAACAGCTGAAGTGATGCCAGCCTGCAGTAATCTGTCAAAGTAAGCTGAGATACCATATATAGCAAAAACTTCCATTTTAACACAGTGCAGTCCTTTAATAATAATAATAATACTTTATTTATACCCCGCTACCATCTCCCCAAGGGACTCGGTGCGGTTTACATGAGGCCGAGCCCACAACACAACAATACAAGCAATAACAACAATACATGCAATTAAAATAAATCACATAGACAATAACATGAGCATTGACAATAGTACAACACACTTTTAAAATCTATGGCTAGGGCAAATGTAATTAAAAAATTAAAATGATGCTGGACATGGACGAGATAAGGAGGTGGGGCGTTAGTGGAAACATATGAGCAGACCTAAATCAATATAAAGTGCATTAGAGGACAAAGTGCTAAGGGTTCATTATTCTGGGAAGGCACACTGGAACATCCACTCCTCCTGAAGACTGCCAGAGTTGGGTCCTGCCTGATGTCCTTAGGAAGTGAGTTCCAGAGTCGAGGGGCCACTATCGAGAAGGCCCTCTCTCTCGTCCCCACCAATCGTGCTTGCGATGCAGGTGGGAACGCGAGCAGGGCCTCTCCAGATGATCGGAGAGATTGTGTTGGTTCGTATACAGAAATGCGGTTCCGCAGGTAGGCGGGTCCCAAACTGTTCAGGGCTTTGTAGGTAAGAACCTGCACCATGAATTGGGTCCGGAAAATGAATGGTAGCAAGTGGAGCTCCTTAAACAGGAGGGTTGACCTCTCCCTGTAAGGAGCACCAGTTAACAACTTGGCCGCTGCCCGTTGGACCATCTGGAATTTCCGAGCCGTTTTCAAGGGCAGCCCCATGTAGAGTGCATTGCAGTAGTCCAATCTAGAGGTGACTAAGGCATGGACCACCCCGGCCAGA